ATTTTTACTATATTGATATCTCAGAATTTCTTGCCAAACATCTTTTCTAATGTAATATATATATTCCTTAGCATTTTTTTTCCACTTTTCGCCACGCTTGTCATGCACATATTAATTTTTATTGAAAAGGGAGTAAAAAAAAAGGCAACATATAAGTTAAATAAGATTTACAGGTTTATAATTAGTTCGTTCATGGACTCAATTCAATATCAATATTGTACTGATATGAGTAGCCTATAAATCGCCATCTTCTGTGTCTTCATTCGTCGGCTCAGCAGGTCCCTTCATGTGTTCCTTTACGAAGGACGCAAGGTCATCCACTGTGCGATCGCCATTGTAATATATTGCCTCATTACTTTTAGCTGGGATAAAACATACGGTAGGATATCCAGTCACATTAAACAGGGTTCGATTAAAATCATTAGCTGTAGCATCAATCTTGCCGATAATCAAATCATCGGAACCATAGGCTTTAGCAAATTCATCATAGACTGGGTGGAACTTTTGGCAGTGTCCACACGAGGGTGCATAAATATAAATTAACATGTCCTTTCCCTCTTTCAGATAAGAATCCAATGTTTTACCCACCAAAGTCGTAAGACCATCTTTAGTGGGTTCTTTAGGAATCGGTTGCGATCTTATAAGAGGATTAACTTCACCCTTGAGATGTTTTTCAATAAAGTCACCAATCGTTCTGGAGTTCGCTTGTATGTCCGTAGGATGGGCATATATCGAGGACTGAGAGGTGATAACAAATGCCGGGAATACTGTGTCGCTGGGAAGACCTATATTTCTGGAAACCTCGTTAGTTTCAGATTCAACACCGATAAATATAATGTCATTGCGATACTTTTTGGCAACTGATCGAATATCAGCGACATGTTCTTCAGTCTTTTCCTGACCCAGCAAAAGTATACCTACTTTATCACGGGCTAATTTGGAATAGAGTGGAATCGTTTCAGGTGTTAAAGAGCCAATAAACATAATTGAAGCTTTATCAAGGAAATTAATAAGTGCCTCGGAGTTGAGATCACCGTCGAATACCTCTTTATCATCATCCTTGCGATATACAGTAATCGATTCCATGGAATCATCCGGTGAGACTTTTTCGTCTGTGACAAGCACAAAGTGAAACGTGCTTTTATATTTAAGAATGATTTCACCGATCGACTTCGCTAGATCAGTTTCATTTGACTTGGTTTTAATCAAGCATATTTTAGGGTTTTCATTTTTAGCATTCTCAAATTCCTCATTGGAATTTACAGATGTAGTATCAGGTGCTAAATATGCCTTTGCAAAATTAGCCATAGCTGAAGCAGTACGCGGACCATCATAATCGGATACTTTAACACCCTTCTGGAAAATCATGAACTTGGGAAACCCATCAATTTCGAAACGTGCACAAGTTTCTTTTTCATCATCACAATTCAATTCAGCAAAGGTAGCCGTGTCCTTAAGAATATCAGATGCTTTTGAAAATTCCGGTGCAGCCTTTTGGCAGTGACCGCACCAAGGGGCATAGAATTTTACAAATGTCAACCCGTCTTTTCCAATGGTTCCATTAATATTTTCACTGGTGAGCACCACCACTTCAGCAGACACACTTTTAAGAAGAAGCACTACTGCAAGAAGAACGAGTATGAACTTCATGTTTGATATCGAAATTTTGTAATGATTTGCTTAAAATAATAATAATAATACTCTTCGATATACGGCTGTCAAGAAAAAGGGAGAAATATAATGTAACATCATACATCTATTAGTTTCTCTAATTCAATTTTATTCAGACTATTTGTCATACCGTAGGTAGATAAAACAAAGAAAAAATACAAAAGCAGCTTATATAAAGAGATAATGGAATGATGATCCACTCTTTTGGGATAATAAAATAAAGGTGCAACAGCTATTCTTGTAACTGTGCTGCCAGTGAGTCACACAGGTCTTTCAGGGATTTGTTTTCTTCTTCCATTTTCATAATTTCATCCTGATACAAAAATATCTCCTTCTTTGTTTGGGACATTTTGTTATTATACTTTAGAGCTTCGTCATTCATTTTGTCTTGGAGCGTCTTAGTATTCTGCATCAGTCGTTGCATTTCCCTATTAGTAGCAGTAATTCGCTCGCATAGATCTTTACTCTCAGCTTCTACATCTTGAGAAACACCCATGACAACGTCCGCTGGTAATGAAACAGTGCGATCCGAGGTGGATGCATCGCCTGAGAGACGTGTATCCTGAATAACCCGTGCCAGGTGATTATTCGTTCCCTCTAAACGTTGAATTTCATTCATTAAATCCCTTCTTTCTTTTTGAATTCGCCCTGTTATTCCCATTAGTTCATACTCACATGACTCACGAAGTGTGCCGATATTTCGATCCGACTCACTACGCAGCTCAATAATACGTTTCTTTTTCAAACGAATACTTTCTTTAATTTCATGTTCCCTTTTTCTCAAAAGAAACAGCTCCTTCTCCCTTTCCCTGGACAGTTCTTGAATAGCCTTTAGAAGTTCGTGTGGGCGGGTTTCCTCTCCAGCGGGAGTTTCATTTACCTTTTGCAGCAGTGAGGCCTGCAGGTCATCGAGCATAGTCATTAAACGGGCGACAGTCAGACGCTTCTGAGCCTCGGCAGGTTTTTCCTGCAGCTCTTTTATGCGCTCTGACAATTGATGCGCTTCTGATGAAATGGAATCGTATTTTGCTTCTCTATCAATAAGTTGGGAAACATATGCATCCCTGGAAAGCTGTGGAGACTGGGGCGAAAATTTTGCCTGTTCATTTAAGTATATTTGTTTTCGTCGGCTAGAATCTCGAGCTCTGTCCTGTGAGCACAATTTAGAGGAATCTAAGGCATCAATATCTTTTTCTATTTCAGCAATGTTGCTGTTAAATGTCGAGATGTCCTTGCGTTTGTTTTCTAGGAGAAGCTCGCCTTTATGAAGAGAATCCTCCAATTCCTTCAACTCTTTCTTTAGTTCATCAAGTGATTTAAAATCCATCCAAGAAGAGATTAAATATGAAAGAATACCGCAGTTCTATATCGACACCTAAATTATTTCGCCGATTTGGTTTAATGCGCTTATGCATTCTAATAATTTAAAAGAGAGAAAAAGATACAGTAAAACGAGAAACTGGAAGTATTGGGCAAAATGTAAGTCTGAATATTATGAATAAATTCCCTAAACACACAACCGTTCACCAATTGCTAATTTTTTTAGTTGCACAGAAGTTTTATCTGATTTAATCCCTATACCATTAATATTACTGTTATTGTTCATTTTATTATTCTTGATAAATATTTCTATATATATAGAAATATTTATAGATCCGCACAGGTTTATTTTTCCTTCAGATATTCTTTCCAGTTTGGGTTACTCTAATAAAAGTGTTTACACCGATATATAAACACAATTAATTCCTACCGCGCCCCCTACCAATCCGACGTCCTCCTCGTCCATCACGCCCGTCCCCTTCGCGGGACCTGCGTTCCGTGTACGGCGCCAATTCAGAGACCGAATCAGATGCCTGCAATACCAAATATTGAAGTCTGGTGACATTACTGCGATCCACAAAGAGATTCGCGTCATCTCGATCCCAGTATGCGACAAGTGCATTATTATCGGAAATGATCCCATTCATTACACGGCGCACCTCTTCCTCAGTCATATCATACTTTAAAGCCAGTTGCGTGGCTGAGAATGTGGAAAAGTTGCATCGGTTCGTATAGCAAAAGATTCGAAGTGCGGCCTCCTTCAGGTGATTTAAGTAACCGTCAAGGATTTTATCTCTATTAGGAAAAGCATCCCAATTAGGAATGCTCGAGACTACTTCCTTAGCTTCCTGATAGTTTCCTACTTTTAGAGCGTAGTAGGCTGCGGGGATTTGGTCTCGAATATTATGTGGCTTCCCACATAGCTGGGTTCGCCGACTGATGGACCCGTAGAAGAACTTTTGGAGCCAACTTCGTTCGTACGGGTTCTTGGCCTCATTTGTGGTGTCAATAATTAGTGCGGATAGCAAGGCTGCTAATTCTAGCTGTTGGGAAGGTATGAAATGATAGGGTGCAACCATGAATTTTTTATATTCAAGACCTTCACCCTTTTTAAGTCGTCCTGGTACGCTTTCTCCAATCAAAACATGGTGGTTCCGTAGGGTCCAGATGCTTCCGAGTAAGTCGTAAGTTTGTTGGATGTTTGAAGCAACGAAAGCACCTAAGCTTAACTGTGCGATAGCCCGGTTTAATAAGACAGACAGCTTGGGGTAAAAAGTCATGTCTTCCTCTTTTGTCTTGAGGTATTCCTGAATCCCTGAGCGCAAAAGTATATCCCGACCCTCACGATATTTGCCTAACAGCCCATGCTGATAAGCAATATAGCAGATTGCACATTTAGCCGTCTTCTCATCACCCACAGAAACCAGAATTCTGTGGAGCTCTTTAATTGTATCCAAAACAGACTCGGTGATAACACACCGATCCATAACCATCCTTTTAAAGAGCATAGAATGCGCAGCTTGGCGACGTGGCCCAAGGATGCTAAGAAGAACTTCTGCACATGTGCGAACATGGGATTTCTTAGTATTGGATCCTTTTAGCTGATAGTACTTCAGAATGCTGTCAGCAAAATCGGCTAATCGATTTTCATGTGAAACCAGTGGCATGTAGTCGCCAAGAGTTCCATCTACACTTTGAATAATCAAGAAAATCTTTTGCCATAAATTTATAAGGATGTTTGAGAAATCACCCGCAACAAGAGCCGTTTTTTCACTTAGCTTTTCAATATTCTCAGTCAAACTTATATTGGGAGTGCTGATGATAAGGTCGAAACACCGCTGTGCAGTTTTAAATGCCTCATACCACGTGTTCATATCACTTGACAAGTCATCATGACGAATACGCTCTAGAATGATTTTTGATGCGAGACTCAGTGCGGTGATTTGCAAAACAATATTATTCTTCTGACGCGATACTCTGGCAATATTCAATAAGACCATCGGCTTCATATTTTTCCCACTCATTACAACATTTTTGATATACTCAATGCTGTCCTCCGGAATTTTACTCTCTTCAGTATCTTCATCTGAATCTTCTTGGTTTTCATCCTTATCCAGCTGTTCGATTTCTTTAGCGTACTTCTGTCTTGCTTCATTAAGTAAAGGGATAAGTTGTTTAAGCGAAGAAAAATCCCTTTTATCCTCAAAGTCGTCTTTGGTTTTGCCTTCAAGGATTTCATTCAGATCCGGAAGATACGCTAAAAACTCCACAAAAGGCTGAGAATACCTTTTAAAATCGTTCCCATACTTTTTAATCAGCTCAGTGTATTGCTTGTATGCCGTGTACCATGAATTGCTGTCTATGCTATACCCCAAAATATCACAGGCTTTTTGAATTTTTTCACTAGTTTTCTCCTGCCCTGTAGTGGTGATGCGCTTCTCCTCCTCATCATCGTCATCGGTCACACCAAACCAATAGGGATCAATCTGCGATTCAATATTTTCCTTTTGATTAAGATCTTGCTCGATTTCATGGTCGGAGTCCGATGAATCCAAATAGTCAAGGTTGTTCATGTGAATTTTCTCGCTGTTTTTGAGTTATAAATTCCTTACTTTAACAATACATGGATAAAAAGAAAAGTTTGGCAGCCGTTGATAGAAAGCAATAGCATGGCCATTACATTTGAATGAATTATATACTAGGCACAAGGAGAGTAAGTGTATTTTCATCTAATAATTTTGAGCAGTTACGAGATCACACACACATAAACACACATATACCAGAGCAGAAGTTCAATATTAAAAAATCGCGTTCTCGATTTTTGAGATAGCATTCTTAATGTTTGTCACCAAAGGATCGCCCGGTGCTGTTTCTAAAAGATTCTGTAAACATGCTAGCACATTCCTCCATGATTTCCGAAATTTTTTTGGACCGAGTATTGACTGCTGAAACAATTCGATAACCCTCAATAAATTTGTCACCGCTCGCTCAGCCTGTGATGACTGAATAAGGGCAGGAAAATAAATGAGAGACATTCCAATCTTCACAGGCCCCATTCCTATGATATCCAAATCTGTCAGAACGTCTAGCAAAAAGAAGAATGAATCTGCGGATGTATCATTTTCGACTTCCTGAGTAAGATCTTCAATCAAACAGGATGGACCAATAGAAGAGGCGCAATTATTAAAAAGTGAAACTGCCATGGAAAGTGCCTCAGACGCATGCAAAATATGGTTCAAATTTCTATGATGCACAGAGCACACAGCCTGAAGGAGAGTTTCTGTATCCATTTCTTATGCATCCAGGAAAGAAAGAAGAAGGAGTCAAATAAGAAGAAAAATAGTCTTTAATACTCAAAGAAAATGATTCTGGAACACTGTTCTTTTTTCTTTTGAATAGTGGGAGTAAAATAAGCATTATCACGGTCTTTTAGTGAGAAAAAGCACGCTAATGTTATTCATCCAGCAATTCCGATGCGCAGAAAGAAGCTCCTTAGTGATTATCGCTATATTTAAGTTATCCAGATAAACAGTGCAAGATCGAGGAGTGATCGGCACGATTCGCTGCACCCCAGACAGGTGCCTCAAAACAACCAAAATTCGAAGGTAAGATTCATTTTCCACAAGAAGGGTGGACGTAGGCTTCATAGTAACAATAAAGCCAGGTACGATGGAAGGAGGGGGAGGTGCAACACTTACACTGATTAACCTCCCAAACAAAAGACAGCCATTTAAATGAACAAGTGCATCTTGTGCGCATGTTGAAGCTATAAAGGCAATAGAAGCCATACCACCTGTCCGGTTCATGACAATATCGCAAATTTCCCCGAAGAGACTAAAGAGTCTTAATAGGGTTAATCGAGTAAATTCTGGAGTAATCGGAAAGGACACATTCTTGACAAGCAGAAACTCCATACGATCCACATAACAGTTAACTGAATACGTATAGTTGCACTCAATCCTTCCTTTTTTATCACTTTTCACTAAATATAAAAAAGTCAAATTTATGTAAAAAAAACCCGGTGTGTATGAAATTTTTCATATTGATAAAACAGCATTATTCAGATTTCCTTGTTTTCAGCCTTTTTATTAATGAAATATTTCCATGCAACTTTCATAAGTTTCTAAAAGATATGGAAAAACGAAGAAATATGAAATCCTAGAGGACAGTAGCCTGAAAGTTTGGTATTCAATTTTCCCTTTTCAGTCATTATTTATTTCGACCAAAAAAGTTGAAATCACAGGAACAATTTTAGTTTCCTTCAGGTTCCACAAAAACATCGCTATATTTTAATAAAACTTGAAATTTAGTTTAGTTGATACTATCACCTATATTCCGAGTCTCAAAAGATTGTGTGGTAATCATTCTAAAGAAACACAAACGCACATAGAAAATATCATATGCATATCTACTCGAAGAAACTTCGCCCTTGAAATTTAGGGATCTTCAAATCTTCCATTTTGCTCTTCTCTAAGTAGAGTTATGTACGATAGCTGAACAAAAATTAGACATTAACCTTTTCTCTAATATTTTTGAAGAATTGTAACATGAGATAAGTGTTCAAGGGGCTCAAAAGGGTTTCTCACCCTTTTCCAGAGTAGTACTTTGAATTTTAATAGCTCTGATTCACTTTGAAGGAACATAAGCATATGAGAGGAAGGGAGGAATATCAACTGTACAGTATAGGCATTTAAGTTAAAGTAATTTACTCATAAATCTGATTATTTAGGAAGGATATTCTCATACAGTTTCTATGGTTTACTTTCAAAAATAAATACATTATCAACTTGCTTGTGTACTTTTACTTTCAAGAAAACGGTTAAATTTTTGAGGATACAAGGGATTCAATTATTGATACTAGATGCAACACATAAATATAAACATAACTTTAAAGGGAAAATATTTTGAATCATCAAATAAAAAAACGTTATATAAGACTTAAAAAACATACTAGAACTTTTGAATAGAAGTTAGTAGATATCGATCATTTAGATTTTGTTTCGTATTTTCTTAATAGGTCAAAAATAAATAGAAAGAAACCTTAACATCGTGCTATTTAAACATAATTCACACAAATATTTGTCATAGAATTGATGTTAATTTCAAAGCATCGTAATTTTTAATTAGAAGAAGACAAGGGCTAAGTTATAAAGCAAATATGTACTAATCACAGTGGAGTTTACTTATTTAATAATGTAATTTATATGAACAAAAACACACTCACTTTGCCACTTGATAAATAAAGACTTGAAGTCTTTTATATCTAAACTTAGCTTCTATTATTTACAAACGGAAACAGCGTCGTCTTTAAATAATATTCAATAAGAGTCCTTAAGCTAGTTAGGGATATAGTACTAATATTTGCTTAGACAAGATCAGAGATGCGGTAGTTTGAATCTATTGATTAATTCAAAGCAGGCATCATATGCAGATATTGATGTATATTTGAAACTAGTGAATATGTATGCTATTTTAGATTCCTTCAAAAAATATAAAGTGGCAAATGGATTAAAAAAAGTGGCAGGGAAATGTTTTCATAGAAGAAGAAGTTATTTGTTTATCTGGAATCGATAGTAATTTTTGATTTCAGAAGAAATGAACATTTAGGTCAGTGACACTAATTTCTGGGTCTACTAATTTAAAGGGTAATGAATATTCTATGATAATTACCACTATATGCTTCTACATAATACTTTTTCTACGATTCTCTCTTGACTCAAAAAAAGTGGAGCATAAATTTTATTCAAAAGTAATGTGAATCTAACTTTACTAAAATATAAAATTAATAAAGGAGATAAATCTATATTTTAAAATAAAAAATTATACATATATATAATATATATATTTAATTATTTTTAATCACGAGGAGAAACCTTTTCCATCCATATGCGGCACCCGAATTTCTTGTAAAGTTCTTTAAGTAGCTGGACAAAGTACACACGCTGAGAAGCTTCATAATAAAAGGTAAGCTTCTTTTTATCGTACTGATACTCACACTGAGTAATTAGCATGTTAATTCCATGGAAATTTACTTGCTTTTGGCAAAGTTCCATGGCGCTAGCCTCAGCTTCTTTCAAATCAGTAGCCCAGTAGTCGACTTCTCGTTGAGTAGCATACCGTAGAAAGCTTTCAACAGGTCTAGTATGTTCAACAAACATTTTACTTTCCTCTTGATTAACGCCAATAACAACTCCAATGTCAATGCCGCGGTCACCCTGAACGACAACATATAGACCTTTTTCAAGCAATATATGAGATGAGTATATAGACTGATGACATTTAAACTGAACCATCACGTTGCAAATACCTGACCCTGGCGACATGGGAGAACCTTGGTGATCCTTACCTTGAAGCTGTTTTTTTGTATTAGAGATATAGGTATTTTGAGCCGGATCTATCGAAAAAATAGATTCAGTATAATCTTCATCAAGAAGGCACTTCCATCCATACGGATCATGACGTCGAATCTTGGGTCCTGAGTTGATAAAGGTATTGAAATGATTCCCTTTCTGACTTACTTGATTTAGTGGAAGCTGGACGTTAGTTATATCTATTAAAGGAGACTGGAAAGCAAGCATCTTGAAAGAGTAATAGTAAATAAAAAAAATAAAAAAATCTATAAAAATATAATTTTTTAAAAAGTGTAACTAAGAAAAAAAGAAGCGAGAATATCTGCTTGAGTTGAAAGAAGGTATTCATATATTCTTAGACGGATAAATCAATAAGAAATTCTGCATTGAGTTCGTTTTTGCATTATGATTAGTATTTTAATTAACATGAGTCATCAAAAAAAATATTCGATTAAATCTCAGTGAAAAGGTAAATCAAGAATTAAAAAAAGATTTTTTGTAAACAAATGTAAAAGCAAAAACATTATTAAAAAACAATATTAATAATAGATAAATACTTTTATATATTCCCATGAATATAGAGAAAGAATCAAAATATACAACCGAAAAGTATGCAGGCAATAACTAAAATGACAAAAACTATCGTGCCGTTGTTTCTCAAAACTAATTGGTAGTTAATAGAATAAAATCCCAAGATGGTTTAGTCCCCATGGTGCCCTGTTTTGAGAATTCGCTTTAAGTTATAAATATTTTATTTAATGTATCCAAAGAGTGGAAAAAAGTATAGGAAACTCTTAGCACTTATCAGTAAAGAACCAACAATACTATATATATATATAATCATATTTACACTGCAAAAGACCCACCTGCGAAATTTACAATTCAAGCATGGTCTTTTGATAACCGGTCTTTAGCTCATTTTAAAAATGGAGATTAAATAGATAATTATATTTAAATGTGTAGATAAACATTACCTGAAATCCTAGATAAATATCCTAAAGGTTGGAATATGAAAAGGCATTCAGTGAAAGGCGGCAACGGGGTCCACGCAATCCGACCCCATG